AAGTTGGAAGGACTTATAAGGCCACTGAGTCCTTCTCTGACTACCGAGGTAACCCACATCTGTGTAACACATGCATGATTCCAAATGCTCTCTCCTAGTAACAACTACCAAGCATCGTCTGTGGCTTACCAGTTGAAAATAACGTGCATGTGTTTGGAGAACTGCAGTTGGTCCAGGAACCCGTTTTCTACCCCAACAATCTTCTGGGATGACACAGACTCAAAAATAGGGAAATTGATACTGCAAGTGGCCAGGAGTCAGCTTCTGGTTTTGAAAAAAAGAGTGTTTTTTGGAGTGTCAAACTCTGAAGCCTATTTGAAAGGTGAACTTCTTCCTCTGGAGTGTTCCAGAAAAAGCAGTTCATATTTTTTCTCTGGGAAATGGTTTTTTTTTTTTTTAGGAGAGCGATCAGAGACTCTTAACCGGGCTGTGGTCTGCAATAATAGCTTTAGAGTATCTGTTTGGCCCATCCCTATGTTTGGCATGGTTTTACGGAGGTTTCAGAAGTTTTGCTACACTTTGGGTTGTGCCATCTTGGATCCGTTTGTGGATCTGCTACAAGAGCAGTGGTAAGCCATTGTAAAGGTAATTACTTTCATGTGAACGATCCTTCAGACATGGTCATCCACGTTTGGATCGCAGTCCCGTGTTTGCCCCTCAGAAGTGCCCTTGAGAAAAGTCACAGCCCACCCTGGCAGTCTTAAGGAGTGGATATACCTGTTCTCCTCTAGTTCCTCTTGTCGTGACAATACTTTTCCTCCCTACCTCTGACTTGGGGGAGAGGCGGAGATACTCCCTCATGCAGTTTCTGAGGTTGCAGTGATCCTCCAGCAGAAAGCCTGAAAGGATGAACGAGATGGCAGGGGAAGGGGGTATCAGGAGATAGGTCTCTCATGTGCTCCCAGAGGGATCCGGTGCGGCCACGGTGAGATACAGGAAGCTTGACTAGAGGGGCCCTTGGCCTGATCCTTTAGGGCTCCTCTGATGTTCTTATGGCTCCCAAGTCTCTGTGTATACCTGCTGCCTACACCCAAAACAGATCCATGCTTTCCAGCTCCAGGTTTAGAAGTACAGAGGGGGTATGGGCAGGAAGGATGCTTGGTGTTTGGCAGTGGCACATTTACAAGCTCCAGAGGGCACAGAGCATGAGTGGAACAGCACCAGCCCTCAGCGGCCAAGCTGGCTGTAGGATTCTGGGCATTGTGGCCTGGAAAACATGTTACACGGTTACAGAGCACATTACCATGGTCTCTTGAGACTGTAGGATGCCTAATCTAATCTGAGGTCTGGGGGGAAAAAAGCTGCAGGAGTCTCATTTGCCCCAGAAATCAGAACAGATAATCTTATTTATTTATTTAAAATATTTTTACCCCACCTTTTTCATCAAAAAGGACCCAAAAAGGTAGCTCAGACGGGAACTCCTTGATGAAGCTGGAACATCTTACCAAAGAGAAAGGCGGGGGGGGGGGGATAAGAGGAACCTGGCCTGTTTAACTTCTGGAGGCAAAACTACAGGGCCACTTTCTTTCCTGAGAACTACGCTTGTGTTCCCTTTATGGCTGCCCCCCAACCTTGCTTGCTTCTTCCTGAGAAACCCTGTCTTCCTCTGCAAGTCTTGATCTTTGGTGTCAGAAATCAGGGCCCGATGCCAGGCAACTTGGAGGACCAGGCTCTTTAATGCTCTTTAAGGGTTATGGCTGTCACTGGCTCTGGCGCCTGGTGGAGGCAGGTCATAGGTGCCCGCATTCCGCTGGAGAGGTGGCAGTGTAGGTTTGAGCAGAGTTTTGATTCTGGCCAGTGGTGTAATCTTTAGGCAAACAGGTCAAGGCACTCGCTAATGAGACGCTTGGATGCCAACATTCCACACTGCTTCTGTTGCTCATATGTTCAAAACAAAGAACTGCTTTGTATTCCTGTCTCCTTTTCCCCAGCAGCCCAGGCCATTTTTCTTTAAGGAATCTATCTTTCTTGCTTCTTAATATGAGCTGTTGCTGGAGAGTGTGCTCTTAAAATACCGGTCCTCACTGTGCAGTGTTTGGGGCGGTTGGGGGGGGGGAGGCTGTTGGCACTCTGTGCATGCAGGAGCTCTGCTCTTGCTGCGGACCGTTTCCTGGTGGGTGCTGTGCTTTTTGTTAGATGGGTTTATGTGGCCTTCTCATGAGCATACATGTCGAATACTATAAATAAATAAATAAGTAAGTAAATAAATAAATAAATAAATAAATAAATAAATAAATAAATAAATAAACTAGTCATGAAGTGGGCAAAGGGGCACTTTGGCATAAAATTTATTTATTTATTTATTTGTTTGTTTGTTTGTTTGTTTATACCCCACCCCTCTAGACCATGTCTAAAAGTATGAAGGGCAGATCTGGCGAAAATTGTGAATTAAAATAGGGTATTGATTGGGCCAACTTCTGTTTGGCATAAGCAAATGTTTTCCAGAATGGTCTCTTAAGGGATGGTTAGATTAAATATACTGTAATGTGTTTTAAGTTGCTCCTGTGTTGTGCTTGTTGCTAACTTGGCCGCTGCGCAGGTCAGTGTGAGGGTTCAACTTTTGGCTCCAAATTCAATTTCAGGAAATCAGTAGAACTTGTTGTTTCAAAACGTGTATGGGATTTATTGGGGCATTAAACAAAAAACAAGTGTCTGGAACAGGATGACGAGTCCTTTCTCTTTCTGCCAACGGGTCCGGAAGGGGCTTCCATTCGTCAAACAGGGTTTCTATCACTGCAGTTCCAGGGTCCCGAGAGATCAGCGGGGACCTAGTCCTTTATGGTCTGCCTCATTGTGCCTTCCAGCAGGGGCATGGTCTGCTCATCCAGATCATCATCCCACAGCATCCATCCATTGGGGGCTCGGTTCTCCCAGAGTCCTCCCTGCAGCTCCTTCTCTTCCTCTCCCTTCCTCTCCATTCCAGCCTTTCTCTCTGCTCGTTCCTTTTCCTCTCTCAATCTCCTTCTCCACTCCCTCGCCTCTGTTTCCCCCCAATAAGAGGGTCTAGAGGGGGAACCTCTACTCTTCTATAATCTGCCTCCTCTTGGGAGCACTCTTAATCTCTCCCATAATCCAGCCCACGGATCCTGCATCCACACCCATTCCAACCGGGCAGTCACTGCTCTTCCCTCCTCTCTACTCCCCCAGTCCCTGCTTCAAATGCCACCCTCCTTTTTTTCTCTCTTCCCACCTTTTCTCCTTGAACCTCCCCTATCATCACTTTCTGTATGTCTTCTGTCAGCTCCTCCATCATTGTCTCCTGCGGAGGTTCCACTGTAGGTTCTGGTAGGGGCTTGGGGTCCACTTCCTTAGCTTTGTTGTTGAGGATGGATGGCTCTCCAGCGAGTGGGGTATCCCTCCCCCTCTGTCTCACCGTCAGTAAACGAGCAGAGCCCCGAGACTCTGGGTATGTGGTACATCTACGTATTTGCATGTTTTGAGAATATAAAATAAAAGGTCTGGGTGGAAACATAAAACAAATAAAATATAAGCACATAGACAAAACTGGTTATGCTGCACTCCAATGGCACATTTGTGTGGGTTTTGAAAATGCGGCTTCAGGATGGCCAGCTGGATTAATAGATATTAGAGTTGAGACTTATGTGCAAATGGTAGAGGTCATAAGAACTGGGCCAAAATGTGCTTTGGCCTGCTGATGGCCCATGGATGTCTCAGTTAAGAATATTTATTTAAAATATTTTTGCCCCTCCTTTCTCCTTAAAAAAGACCCGAGGCAGCTTATTTATTGTTTATTTAAAATAAACAAATAAAGCGTACATCCCCAAAAGACAATATTTAAAGCTAAAGGCTGAGTATACAAATAACTAAAAGATCAAACAAATACCACACTAAAACCGGTAAGCAAAGACAACACAAAGCTCATTTAAAAGCAACAAGACACAACAAGCCATTAAAAAACCCTACTCAGGCAGCTAATCACTAAGGGAAGAGAAAGGTCTTGGCCTGCTTCCAGAAGAACAGCCAAGATGGGGTCAGCCTGGCCTCCTGTGGCAGGGGGTTCCAAAGTCTGGAAGCAGCAACATAAAAGGCCCATGATTCACCAAGTGCATCTGTGGGGCTGAGGGAAACGCCTCCCCTGATGATTTTAACAACCGAGCAGGCTCCAAAAAGGGAGACACAGTCTTTGAGATAGCTTGGACGAAGATTTGCTAATACAGTAGTTTTGCTAATATTTCCTGCATGCTAATCATAGCTCAAACTGTATTCCTTTTTGACTGCTTTGGTCCGAAGCCGTTTGAGGAGCCAACCTTTCTGGAACACGCTCAAGAAATACTTCCTTTTTGAGCACCATTATATCACACAAGACATCTTACAGCCAAACATCCTTATTGTCCTGGGCAAATGTAAAGCGTTGCAGACGAGGAAGCAAAAAAGTCAATAAATCCCAATTTCATATCAACACTGATGGGATTTGAGTGGTAATATCTGGCCAAATAAGGGATCTTGGAATTGTGGTAGATAGTTTGGTGAAAATGTCAATATGAGGTGCAGCTATCGTTAAGAAAGCAAAGTCCACATTGGACCTAATTAGGAGAAAAACTCAAAAGCAAGCTTGTATGCAAATCCATTCATGGCCACAGCAGGAATACTACACATACATCTATCACTAAGTGTTAAAGCTGTAACATTTTTGGCTGAGAAAGAAGACAAGTTAAGGGAGATAAGTTGAAAGTATATAAAATTATGTATTATCAGGACAAAAAGGAGATAAGTTGAAAGCATATAAAATTATGTATTATCAGGACAAAAAAACAAAGGTTTAAAAAGAAGATGAAAAATGTGGCATCTTAAAGATTAGTTGTTATATTTTAATGTGAGCTGTCATGGACAAGTCCACTTCCTCAGACAAGGTGCTGCAGCGTTTTTATTTTTAATGTTTATTTTTCTTTTGTTTTTGGCTTAAAAGGCTAGCACAGGCTGACATGCCTGCCTCTTCTGAAACTGTAAAAAATCATCGTCTCATGCTCAAAACTTGGGGTGAGCCACAGAAACTGAACAGTGAGATACTCAGAGGAGACGGTTGGACGTCCTTCGCAGACCGTGCAGCTAAACAGGAATTCACAGCTATGAGATGCAGGGAGGGCTGCCCCTGTAGAAGGCTTTAGAAGAGGACTAGGTATTGATTTGTACCCATTAATGGTTATTTATCCCCTACGATATTAAAAGGAGGACAGTGGCTCTGAAAAGCAATTGCAATTACATACTACGGAAAAGAGCAGATACGGATCAAATGGTTCTCAATGCATTCCTATGGGAAATGCAGATTTGACTTAAGAACTTTTTGACTTGAGAACCGCCTTCCAATACGGATTAAGTTCTCAAGTCAAGACCCCACTTTACTTTGGTCCTCCTGATGGGCTTTGCATTGTGAACCAGTTGGCCACTGGTTGCCAGAGTAGTTAGGCGTTTGCTGTGACCCATGCTGGTTTTTTACCTTCTTGTGACTGGTCATAAAAAAATGAGCAACATAATTTTAAACGATCTATCTCCTGCTACTTAGCAAATCAAAAAAGGGGTGCCATTCTGAAAAGTGTTCTGAATTTAGCCTCCGGGCTGTTTATGGCTTGCCAGTTCTGCATGACAGATCTCAAAAGTCTTGACAAAATTTTCATGGCCCTCAGCAACGCTGGCTCATCAGGAACTCAGGCTGTTATAAAAAGTCTGCACCAGTTTCCCCCCACCCCACCCCCAGGACTGTTATCAGGTGCTTTGTGACAGCAGACCATGAATCCTGCCTGCCTGGGTGCTCAGATGGAAAGAAGTCACGGTAAAGGAAACACATTTCACCTCTCTTAAGCCTAGAACTTGAAATAAAGCCATAAAGGGTGGAAACTCTCTTGGTTTAGACATTCAGGGTCCAAAGTGTGAACCGATTTGTTACCAATGGAAACCATTCCTTGTCTGCTGTGTGAATTTGCATCCACATGTAGGTGTTTATATGGAATTATGAAACTGAGCCCTACCCTTGTGTAAAATTACAAATCTTCTGTCCTCACATGCAAGGGGTCGCATCAGGTTTTCTTCCTTTAGTGCTTTCTTACGCTCAGGTCAGTTTTTATATCCAAATATTTGAAAGTCTTCCCGTCAGCTGAACTACAGTCCCCAGAATCACAAGGCAGGCCGAGGGATTCTGGTGGCTGTAGTCGGGAAGAGTCACTCTTCCATCTTTGCGTAGCCCATAAAGGAGCAAAGGGCTTCCACTAGTGTAGGACGTTGGGTCCCCATAAAAGAACCACTTTATTTTAAATTGCTTGAGCTTTTCACTTGTGTAGTTGTGTAGGTTTAGACCTAGGGATGGAACCAGGAGGACGGGTTCGGTTTTTAGGTCTTGACATTTCTGTAAATTGGTTAATGCTCAAGAGAACAGATGTAAATAGTGAGCAGCTTAGTACTGCATCATCACTCTTGTGTCACAACCCTGTGCTGTAGAGTGTAATAATTATAAAATTTAAAATTCTGCACATGTCATTTGTGTCATTCAAATGACATACGCAGAATTTTAAATTTTATAGATTATAGATTTATAGATCAAATCCTACAGCAAAGCTGGATTCCTTGATCTTTATTCATCATGCAAATGAGCATACCGCTTGGCCATGGACAAGATTGGCTCTTGTCATGCCATTCTGTGAAGCTTTGAGGAAGACATGTGCCAATTAAGCTCCCTCCTGGCCTTTGGAAATTTTATCCTGCCGTGTTTAGAAGATGAACAATTACTGAGCCCATACAGTAGCTTGTTCCATTCAATCCAAACCTTCCCATTTTTTTCTTGGACGTTGTGGTTATGTAGCCTTAGAAAAGAACTCAGTCACGTCAGATGATGATGACACAGCAAAATAATGGATAAATGTCAGATAATCCAGGTGCTGAGTGGCCCTGCAGGCTTAGCCTGTCCTTCCATCACTCATACCTACATTTTGGGGCTCTGTGTAATATTTCATTCTGAGACAGAGCAGGGAAAGATGACTTATTTGGATTACAACAGAGAATCCTCCAGGCCACTTGGCCGGTCATCTGAAGGAATCTGGGAGCTTATAAGCAAAAAAAGTAACTTCTTCCCTCGAGGAGATCACTCCTTCAAGGTGCTAACAGATGAGTTCACTCTAAATCAGACTGAGACTTTCTATCCATGGAGTAACTAAAAGCACTCTGAGCACCGGGAGTAGAAGGACAAAAATAAATAAACAATGAGACTCTTTTCCAGGCCTCCAATCTACAGGGGTGTAACCTAAAACCTGAGGTTAAAGCAGAACGGCAACTTAAAATTGTAAAGTGGAATGGAAGGTCAGCATATTATTCGGGATTCATGCATTTCCTTTTCAAGGCAGTGTTGGTTTCCCCACCTGGGCAAGGTTGGAGGACTCTCACTGATGAACTTTTTAAAAAGACACACAGTCCTTTTTAAGGAGAAAGGCAGAATAAAATGTTTAAAAATCAATCAATCAAATACTATTTTGCTGATCCAGCTTCACTGATAACCACGATCCTGATCGAACAAAAGACAGGTTGACTTGTTGGGTTGAATACCAATTCAGATCCCATCCCAGATGGGTGGGGGGAGATCCCAATGAGCAGAAAGCTCAGTGTCTCATGCGACGTTTCCTGCTTTTAAAGTGTCTGTTGGAAGGACTAGTGAACAAAGGAAACTTGGGAAGTGTTTTGACTCGATTGGGTACTCTTCACCTCCAGCCGTCCCCTGTCCTTGGTCTCTTTGATCTTGCCTGCCCTTCATGGCTCCAGACTACCCCGAAGCCTCCATCATTCCAAGACGATTCTGTGCTGATCTGTCTGAGCATAGCAAAAATGGAGAAACAGCAATTACGGTAGTCCTGTAGCACTTTACAGGCTAATGAGTTTTCTTTACAGAAGGAAGAAAAAAAAAACAAAGAGGCTTCTATCATCTCCTGAAAAAACAGAATTATTTACTCTACATTTAGTGAAAAGACTTAGCCTGAGTTTTTACAGACTACAAGCCTCTCCAGATGCATGAAACACAGCATTTGTGTGTGTACAAGCACATGTACTACATGTAAACAGGACAGTGGTTGTAGGAACGGCATCTGAATGAAATGGCATATAGTACATCATAATTTTATAGTGAATTTTCAAAGTGTTGACTAGGGTAAACATCTTGGTGAAGCAATCATTAATGCTAAGTCTAGGGGCATGCACACCTTAACGTAGTGAGGAATTTGCGTGTATCATAGGAGTTGACAGCAGTACCATCAGGAACAAGGCTTCATGGCAAATCTAGACTTCTAGTAGAGCTGCCCAAAGCAAAATGGTCAAACCTCTGTCCTCTTCGGGAATGATCAACTGTACCAGCAGAAGTGAACTGGTTGTTCCATTGGTGATGAGTTAGTTAGGGAGATCCCTGAAAGGTGACTATCAGACGGCAGCAGGATTAGATGGTGACGCAGGTGCAGGAAGAAGCAATAGTAGGGCAAGGGTTTGTTCCATTGGTGATGGGTTAGTTGTTAGAGAGATCCCTGAAGGGTGACTACCAGGCGGCAGCAGGATTAGATGGTGACGCAGGTGCAGGAAGAAGCAATAGTAGGGCAAGGGAGTGTTGCTTTCTTCATTGCTTTACCATAGCATTGCTGTGGTAAATCAGTTCTGAAGGTTTTATATCTTGAAAACCCTTGAAGAGACAATGGAAAATGAAACAACATATGTCTATACAACATCCTTCTAGCCATTGATAGAATAAGTCCCGTGTTTGATAATATTTTGTATCATCTTTTCCTTTGATTTTCAGTGTTAGTCTGTCCAATATCTTTTTAATTATTTCTTGATCTGTAGGTGTTCCTTCATTTTTCCAGTACTGTGCATAAATAATCCTCGCCGCTGTTAGAATATGCAGTATTAAATATACATTTTGTCTATCAACGGGAGTGTTGCTTTCTTCATTGCTTTACAATAGCATTGCTGTGGTAAATCAATTCTGAAGGTTTTATATCTTGAAAACCCTTGAAGAGACAATGGAAAATGAAACAACATAGTGCTGGAAGATGAGACTCCCAGGTCAGAAGGTGTTGTGTCACTTATCAGGAAGACCAAAGAATAAGTAGTACACATAGCAGTGTTGCTAATGATCCAAGTGGATTGAAGCTGAAAGGATGTCTAGTTCTCACTGGGAGAACAAGAGAGGTTCGGCTATAGGTTCTAGGTCTCCGTGAAAATCCACACAGAGCTCTGAACTCTTAATATTTTGATGCGTGCCTTTTGTTTGGGCCTTCTGCCTTTAACTCAACATTTTCCATGAAACCGTTATTTCTTGTTCTGGATTCTGTTCTTTCCATGCCCCGGCAGGAAATGTATATATGAGCCACTCCCTCCATTGATGGAATTCCGTTCCATCCATTCCTCCTCTTTTCTTATATCTCACGACAGTAGCTATTCATGGAGGAACACACGGTGACCCAGACGGAGCACATGGCGACGATCGAGGCCCACGCCGTGGCCCAGCAGGTGCAGCAGGTCCATGTGGCCACGTACACAGAGCACAGCATGCTCAGCGCAGATGAAGACTCTCCATCTTCTCCCGAGGACACCTCCTATGACGACTCGGACATTCTCAACTCCACAGCAACCGATGAGGTGACCGCTCACCTGGCGGCCGCAGGTACGTTGGCCAGAGCACGCCTTGGTCTTGCCTCCCCACCTTATTCATTCGTTCATTCATTTGGCTTTTATCCTGCCCATTTAGATTCAACGAAACTATTCTGGGTGGCTTGCAGTCCGAATATAAAGCAAGGATTAAAACAAACGCTATCGAACAGCATAGAGATAGGCAAAGTCCAAGATGGTAAGACATAGAGAGCTAAGAAAGACAAGGGGGGGGGAGGCCTGCCTGAAGAACCAGGCAAGGGTGGGGGGGAGACCTGCCTGAAGAATCAAGTCTTCAGTTTGTGGTTAAAAACTCCCAGCAAAGGTGCCAGGCGAATCTCAAGGAGCAAGATGTTCCAGAGGCGAGGGGCCACCACTGAGAAGGCCCCGTTTCTAATTCTCTCCTTCCAGTCCTCTCTCGGGGTCAACCTCCTCATAGGTGGAGAGACACGAGTAGAACTAGGTGGGAGCAGGCCCTCTGTCAGGTCAGGGACTGAGGCTTTATATGTAAGCATTAACACCTTGAAGTCAATGTGGAAACGAATGGGCAGCCAATGCAGGGCAGCCAGAGTGAGGGAAATATGATGATATTTTTTCACCCCAGTAAGAAGTCTGGCCGCCACGTTCTGCACCATTTGAAGCTTCCACATCAGTCTCAAAGGTAACCCCACATACAGCTCATTACAGTAGTCTAATCTCAAGACTACAAGCGCATGGACCAGAGTGGTGAGGGCTGCCACATCAAGATAAGATCGCAGCCGGGCAATCCACCAAAGATGTAGATGGGCGGTTGCAGCTGGGGAATCCACCAAAGATGTAGATGGGCAGCACGGTCGCTACCTGGGACTCCATGGTAAGCGCTGGGTCAAGAAGGACCTCCAAGCTGTGGACCACACGCTTTGTGGTGAGAGTCACACACACACACTCCTGAAAAAGAGAGGGAGCTTCCCAAACCGCTGATAGGAGGGGTGCCCACCCTCAAAACCTCCATCTTGTCCGCGTTCAGCCTCAGTCCATTCTCCTGCATCCATTGCAGTACAGCCCCCAGGCGGCGCTCAAGGGGCGCAATGGCATCCACTGCTGTTGGAAAGAAGGAGATATAGAGCTGTGTGTAATCAGCGTACTGAGGACACAAAACACCACACCTCTTGATGACCCCACCCAGCGGCCTCATATAGATATTAAACAGCATTGGAGAGATGATCGAGCCCTGTGGCACCCCGCAATTGAGCCATGGGGACAATACACTTTCCTCAATCTGCACTCTCTGGGGACGGTCCTCCAAGAAGGACCGGCGCCAGGCAAGAGCCAGGCCACCCCCAATTCGGAAAGCTGTCCCAGGAGGATACCGTGGTTGACAGTATCAAAGGCGGCTGAGATATCAAGGAGAACCAACAAGGACATTTTGCCCCTATCGGCCTCCCTCAACAGGTCATCCAACAGTGCAACCAATGCTGTTTCCTTACCGTGAACCTGAAGCCCAACTGAAATGGATCCAGGGCATTGGTTTCATCCAAGAGAGCCTGAAGCTGATCGGCCACCACCTTGCTAAGGAAGGAAACGTTGGTGACGGGCCTATAATTGCCAATGTTTCCACAGCCAAGCTCGGTTTCTTTCTAATGGGCCTAATGAGTGTCTCCTTGAGGGCAAGGGGAACCCTGCCCTTCTGGAGAGACCCATTAATTATTGCAGTGGCCCATTCAGTTGTCACAGGCCTGGGTGCTTTGATTAGCCAGGCCGGGCAAGGGTCCAAAGAGGAGGTGGTGGCACCTTAGGAAGCGCAAGTGTTTCTCCTGCCCTTCGGGACAAACACTTGCATCAGCCCTAATTGTTCAGTACAGAATTAATTACTTGAGGCCTCAGATATCTCAGGATTCATCCGGACAAAACATTTGTTGTCCAAAATGTTCCTGATTGGTCACTAAAGATCTCAAGGGGTGTGCGTCCCACTGATGTGTGTTTGGTCTTGGTACATCCAGCGGCAAACAGTGGACAGAATCCTATTGATGTAACTTGGCACCAGTGTAATCTGGATCAAGCAGGAGTTGCTAATTCCCCAGAGGATAGGATTAAAATTCAAAGGGACCTTGACAGATTAGAGTCCTGGACCAAATCTAACAAAATGAATTTCAGCAGGGAGAAACGTAAGGTCCTACATCTAGACAGAAAACATGAACTGCACAGTTATAGGATGGAAGACCCCTGGCTAGACTACAGTACCTGTGAAAGGGATCTAGGAGTCTTGGTAGACCACAAGCTGAACATGAGTCAGCAGTGTGATGCAGCCGCCAAGAAAGCCAATGCGATTCTTGGTTACATCAATAAGAGTATAGTGTCCAGATCAAGGTCTGCTCGGAGTCTTGTGTCCTGTTCTCTGGGCACCTGAATTCAAGAAGGATGTTGACCACCTGGAACATATCCAGAGGAGGGCGACCAAATTGTTCGAAGGTCTGGAAGCCATGTCCTACGAGGAGCAGCTTAGGGAGCTGGGAATGTTTAGCCTTACAAAAAGAAGGTTAAGAGGGGACATGACAGCAATGTTTAAATATCTGAAAGGATGTCATGTGGAAGAGGGGACAGGTTTGTTTTCCAGGGCTCCAGAGACTAGGGAAAGGAGCAATGGCTTCAAACTGCAGGAAAAGAGATTCCATTAGGAGGAACTTCCTGACGGTCGGAGCTGTCCGGTGGTGGAAGAGGCTGCCTCGAAGGGTGATGGAGTCTCCTTCTTCAGAGATTTTTAAGCAGAGGCTGGATGCCCATCTGTCGGGAGTGCTTGGATGGATGTTCCCGCATGGCGGGGGGCTGGACTCGGTGGCCTCCATGGTCTTTTCCAACTCTATGACTCTAAGCACCAGAACTATTTTATTTAAACTAACAGAAAGCTTCCTATCCCCTTTTTCAGTTTCCCAGGCTTCCTTGGGCTCCCTTGCGCCCCGAGGAAGCCTTTGGGAGCCTCAGAATGGAGCGGGGAGCCTTTAATCACCAAAAATTACTGCTGAGTCGCTGCCACCGGTCCTAAACCCACCAGCATCAATTTTTTTAGCATTAAGATCTCTCTCCCCTCACACATCTCTGTGATTTAACTTGCAGTAGGTAGCCTCCTTCTGCTTGCAAAAGTCGTGCGTTTTTCAGACCTGTTTGTCTGTCCTGAAATGAGGTCTTCTCTTGAGCAGTTGTGACCAGCAGAGGGCAGTACATCAGCAAGAACGGACTTGTGGTTTCTTTCTCTGTCCTTAATTTGGATGTCAGAAGTTTAGGAATATTCGTTTGCAACTAATAGCTATTTTACTTTGTGTGGTGTTTATGTGAATGGACCCACGGGGCAGAGTGAAGCTTGCTGAATCGATACGATGGCCCGCCAAAAAAATCAAATATGAAATCATAAATCCGATAAATGAATTTGTTCTGAATTTCTCACGAGCTGTGTGGAAAGAGAAGAGTGGCTTTCTGTAGCTGGCGTGGCTTATGCCAGTTGTCCACAATCTGCTCTGGCCTAGCTATACTGGGCTATGCATCCCGCCCTCCGTGGCCCTGCTGCCTGAATGGAATAGTAGTCCATTGTATCTCAAGACCTCTGGGAAAGGCTACCCTGTTTCCCCAAAAATAAGACAGGGTCGAAAAAAATGCATTAGGGCTTATTTTCAGGGAGTGTTCTATTTTTGTCGTGTACAACCATCTACACTGATTCAAATGCAGTCCTGTCATCTTTTTCTGATGGCTTTCACTTAGCTGGGGCTTATTTTTGGGGTAGGGCTTATATTACAAGCATCCTGAAAAATCACACTAGGGCTTATTTTCAGGTTAGGTCTTATTTTAGGGGAAATAGGTTATTTGATATGGGTTTTTTATCTCCCCAACCCATGGCTTACTGAATCCATGGATCCTGTTCTTTTCTTCCTCACTTTCCCCCAGGCATGGCTTTCACTTAACTGGAGCTTATTTTTGGGGTAGGGCTTATATTACAAGCATCCTGAAAAATCACACTAGGGCTTATTTTCAGGTTAGGTCTTATTTTAGGGGAAATAGGTTATTTGATATGGGTTTTTTATCTCCCCAACCCATGGCTTACTGAATCCATGGATCCTGTTCTTTTCTTCCTCACTTTCCCCCAGGCCCAGTGGGAATGGCCGCTGCTGCCGCTGTCGCCACGGGTAAAAAACGGAAACGTCCTCACGTATTCGAGTCCAACCCCTCGATCCGCAAGAGGCAGCAGACCCGCTTGTTACGGTAAGAGTCCTCCAAGAAGACGAGGTGGTCTTCTCGAGAGCTGGAGGGGAAAAGTTACCTTTTTCGGACAAGATCTAGATTTCGCCAACCCATGGAGCTGAGTCAGTCCGGGAGGTACAGTCTGGGAGGTGCAGCTCTCAAAACGTCAACTCTTACCGGCGCTGCTCCTCAATAAATGGACGGTGCAACACTTCTGGAAGAGTCCCAAAGAAGATCTATCACATGGTCAAGATAACTCTATGAAAGTAGCTTGCTTCTGGTCAAAAATAGCCTCGTGGGCATCACATTTTTTTATTTATTTATTTTGTTTGTTTAAAATATTTCTGTGCTGCCTTTCTCCCCAAAAGGACCCAAGGCGGCTTTACATTACTAAAACAGTATTTAAAAGCTCCAGCACTAAGCATACGACTATTTTAAAAGAATTAAAGAAGCACTATATTAAAATGATAATTAAAATCAATATTAAAACGCGTTTTAAACTAATAGAGCACAACAGTCCATTTAAAAAGATTTAATTTGTTTTTAATTTTACCTATATTTCATATGTGTCCATAATTTTACGTTGTCCAACACTCTGATATGAAGAAAGGAAAGACAGACGCCTCCTCCTTTCCATACTGATGGGGCACTCAGCATTGAGACTAAGGCGCTGGGTATTCTCATCATCTTAAGCTTTCTTTTATTTGGTCTCTTACACAGAGCCCATCTGGGTACAATTTCAGCCAGATGTTTATAGTCCAGGGTGTGCTTGGGATTCTTCCCAAGCCCGGAACATGTTGCATGAGTGAAGAACACAATATTAAATCAATCAAAGTGAATAATTTAAATAAATGTATTTGAAAAAAATTGAAGTGAATCATGGCCATTTCATATAGAGCCACAAAACCTGGCACAGGTTTACCTGTGGCTATTGATTACCTGTGAGTATTGTGACGTAAATTGGGCCTAAGAGAAATGGGCTAGGTCTTGGTGTGAGGGAAAGAGAAAGGAAGGCAATCAGAAGCTTTTGCACACATCTCAAATTTGTGAGCCTGTTTCAGAGTTTGTGGACTCTTGCGAATATCTGCAAATCTCCTGTCTGGGTGGAAATGTTGCAGGATTTCAAATTGCAATCCCCAGCAATAGTTTTGCAGTATCTCAGTTTTTAAATTTTTTTTTCAAGATTCACGTCCTACCTTGGGGTCAGCATGTACTTGATCTGTATCCCACCTTTCCCCCCAAAAGCTCAGCCTCAAGATGAAACACAAATGAAATCAAAAACATAAAAGAGATATAATTCAGTACATTATTAAACAAGCACTAATATCATATTAAAATCTAAACAAATTGAAAGCATAGTGGTAAAAATGCTGCACCCACCCATTTAAAACTCAGGTTTATGTATGGGTCAGTTACATTTCTATCTCCTGGTGAGCTGACGGGGTGGTGGATGTGACTCTCCTTTGCCCCATTTTATACCGATAACTGCCTTGTGAGGTGGTAGGACAGGCCGGGCGTGGGATTGACTGGCCCAAGGTTATCCAGGGAGTGTCATGGTCAAGTGGGGATTTGAACCCGTATCTCAATATGCGGTGTGCCACATATGGCTGGCACTTTCCAATTTGGGGTGTCAATTATATGGGCACCTAGCTCACAGGATCTTTTAGAAGAGTCGTGTTAACTCCTAGCTGAGAGCGTGTCTTCTCCCCAGAGCGAATCTGTCCCTTGTGCGGCGTTCTGATGCAATTTTTCGGCCTGACGGTGCAACATGTTGTTCAGTCTTGCTCAGCGCAGCTCCCTGTGTCAGTGGAATAATTCCACTGAGTGCCTTTGGGCAGGTTTGCAGTCCCCTGACCTGATGCCATCCTTGTAGAGTGTGTGATGGATGCGCTTTATACCGTATTTTTCGCTCCATAAGACGCACCTTTCCATAAGACGCACCACGTGTGATGGATGCGCTTTATAATTCTACAATAGATTGAGTTGTTTGTGTGTGGGGGGGTCACCCTTTCAATGGCATTTTTAAAAGAATTCTTTGCAATTTTTTTCTTAGTTTCATGAGACAGTAGATGGTGGAAATGTCCCAGTGAGGGGAAAGGTAAATTGCTTGCTTAAAAACATGATCCAGAAAGAGAAGATAAGTACAGATTGATAGATTGAGTTGTTTGTGTGGGGGGGGGTCACCCTTTCGATGGCTTTTTAAAAGGATTCTTTGCAATTTTTTTCTTAATTTCATGAGACAGTAGATGGTGGAAATGTACCAGTGAGGGGAAAGGTAAATTGCTTGCTTAAAAACATGATCCAGAAAGAGAAGATAAGTACAGATTGATTGCCTGTAGTCTCGGCTGGGCAATCTCTGTGGACTCGAGTTGGTTTTCAGCTCCTGAACAAGCCCAAAGGTATCTGAAAGTCACCTTTCCAGTTTCACAGAACCTTGGGAGGGCAGGAATTTGGGATAAATGGGTGGGTGGCAAGCAGCACCTGATACAGTCTCGTGGTACAGGTGCCTTCTGAAAGCCCCGTCTCCTGTCTGCGACTCCTCATCCCACCCCTGAAGTCGTCTTGACTTGCTGTGATACCATGGAATGTTTATGAACATCACTGCCACTGAGAGAGAGGGGGAAAAAAGAAGTGATAGGAAGCAGAAAATCGATGCAAGCAGTAAAAAAGAACTGAAAGTTTGATTTGAGTGTTGGGAAATACGGAGGAGCCTTTAGTGAAGTCCAAAATTGCCGTCCCATGATTCCCCCTCATGAGAGCCAAATCACAGTTCTCCTGCAGCCATCTTTTTTTTAAAAAAATTAGAATTATAACAAATATGAGATGTGTTCACTCAACAAAGGAAGCTATAGGAGTTTGCAAGAGCTGGACAGACGGTTGATGACAGGATATTATGCAGATCGTTCATCCATAAGGTCACCATGAGTTGGAGGTGATTTGAGTAGACATGGTCTAGAGGGGCGGGGTAAAAATCCAATAAAATAAATAAATAAATAAATAACAGACAACAACTGTAATAACCAAGAGAGATGTGAGAAAGAGCAAGGGGTCAACCTTCCCATGACCGGTGGGGGAAAAACTCAGAGATTCAAGACACATTTGAGGAGACGATTGTGGATAGAGTTGGCGGTTAATTTGATAATGCTCAGGTGGGCGGGTCAACGATGCCCCACATGTATTGCTAGACTACAGCTCTTGTTAGCTGCCGCCACCATGGCCAAAGATGAGGGAGGTGGGAAGCTGAAGTCTGATGACCTTTAGACCAGTAGTTCCCAACCTTGGTTAAACCCAGGTATTCCTGGACTGCAATTCACAGAAGCCTCCACCACTAACTGTGCTGGCCAGGATTTCTGGGAGTTGCAGTCCAAGAGCATCTGGGTTACCCAAGGATGGGAACCACTGTGTTAGAGGACATTGCAGTCTAATAGCACTTTGGCCACCCCTGCATTAAGGGCTAAAAGTTTCCGGGTTGCCCTACATTTGGTTAAGTTTTACGCTTGGTTCTTAAGGAGCCTGGTGGCTCAATGGTTCAACTGCAATACTGCAGCCAAAACTCTGCTCATGACCTGGGTACTATCCCGGGTAGTCGGCTCGAGGTTCACTCAGCCTTCCATCTTTTCGAGGTCAGTAAGCTGAGTACCCAGCTTGCTGGAGTGGATAGGGAGTTGGCTACGTATAGCCTGCATAATGAAATTGTAAACCAGCCAGAGAAAGCGTGAAGCACTATGGCAGTGGTCCCCAACCTTTTGGGGGGCACAGACCGGCTGGGGGGAACACCCCCGTGTGAGTGCAGTGGGCATGTCACATTCACACGGGAGTGCGGTATGCCCACCGCGCGAGCATGTGGATATCCGTAGCCCAGTTCCCGCAAGCCCACGGACTGGCGGACCGGGGGTTGATGACCCCTGCACTACGGGGTGGTATATAAGCAGTACATTTTGCTTTTGCTTTGACGCTGGCCTTTTTTTGTAGAAACTGCAAAAAATAATTTTGGTACCTAAGTTTTTATTAAAGGGCAGAATGAGGAAAAAGTTAAAAGTAGCCATGCCAAGAGAGAAAGGGAAACGGATGCAGGATCTGTTCAGGATTTGGACCATTTGGAGCCTTTCACAGGCTGTCTTCTGTATTTTGAAAAGCTAATTCACTGTGTCTGAATCCGGGAAATGGTTTTCAAAGCCCAGCCCATGGAGAGTCCAAGAAAACAGGGGCAGCAGGTCTGGCCTTTCCTTCCTGCCCCTTAAGGATTAAGGACCCTATTTTTTTTTTTTTACAGAGGAATGTAAAAAAGGATAATGATTCCACCTGCTGTGGTATAGTAGGCTTTTATGTCACCATCAGGGAATTCCCTTCCCATTCATGAAATCATGCTCTGCAATTAAGCCCACCAGGAGGGGCAGGGCTAATTTGTGTATGCAAATCTGTATCCAAATTGCTGCTTTAGCAGTTTGCATGCTGCTTTGCCCATGTGTGTGGGATTGGGCTGACATGATGGGTGGCTGCAGGTTAGCTTCCTTTGTTTCTGCAGGGGACTAAAGCTCATTTTATACTCTCAGCTACCCTTCTAAAGTGGCTGCTGAAATCAGACCTCCAAGTTAAAATGCCTTTTAGAAAGGTCAGCAGCTGCTGTGAGAGTCGGGCACTCTTGAACCCCTGTCCCTTCCATCTCTCAAGAAGCAATCCGATGGCAATGTAAGATTGGGGTCTTTGATGAGGGGGACCCTAGCTCCCCAGATGAGCCTTTTAGGCATTTAAGATCCTCAGAGGAGGCCCTCCTCTCGGTCCCACGGCCAGCGCAGGCACCACGGCAGATGGGGACCCGAAAGACGGAGCCTTCTCGGGGGCAGCTCCCAGGTGGTGGAAGGCTCTCCCTCGGGCGGTCAGGATGCCTGCCTCTCTTTCATCCTTCCACCCACTGTGGAAGACCCACCTTTTCAGGCAGGCTTTTAACCATCACGATTTGAGTCCCTGAATGCCATTTTTAAGTTAAGGTCGTTTTTAATGTTTACCTGCTTTTAATGATTCAATTGTGTTTTAATTAACGTCTAAAGGCAGCCTATAAACAAAACAAACAAACAAATAAATAAATATGTGGGCTTCCCAATTCCATGCAGAAGAAACAGTCATGCGTCAGCTGTCCCTTACACAGAATTTGGAGGAGTTCCCCATCTTGAATTATATTATTCGTGTTGCTTTTTATTTTATTATACTGGTTTTAATCTATTTTTATTGTTAGCCACCCAGAGTAGACATGTGTCTAGTAAATAAAATAAAATAAATAAATAAATAATAGTTTTGGACTTCAATGTCTAGAATCCACCAGCCAGCATGACTCATTCGGGTCTAAACCAAAAATCGCTTACCCAAGCTCCTGACAGGATGTTTCACCATGCTTCCTCCACATGGTCTTATTAATCTTGAAACTCTTCCCGCAGAGGGTAGGCCAATAATACAAAACCCATATTGCTGATGAGGATGCTGAGGCTAGGAAGAATCAGACTGTGTGCCTAAATTGGCTGCAAAAATTCATGGCAGAGGCAAGATTTGGACCAGTTAGATTTGGCTCACAGCTCAAACTGAACTCTGTGGAACAGAAAAACCCTTATGTAAAAGAGAGAACTCCTTAACTGTTTAAAGTGTACAGCTCTTGCAACTATGGGTTTTGTGTGTGTGTGTTTTTTTTTTTCATCCTTTGCAGTTTGCAAAATGAACTTGCTTTGCCTTGTAAGAGGTTCCCTGGCAGCGAAACACGGGCTAAGTGTGAGAAATGCTGACAGGGAAGAGGACAGGGGCTGCTGCAGTTGGCATTCTGGCCATATGCTCTAATTTGTTCATTTTTTACAAGAATTACACGTTTTTCCCCTTTTTCCCTTGTGACACAGGAAACTTCGCGCCACACTGGATGAATACACCACCCGGGTAGGGCAGCAGGCCATCGTTCTGTGCATCTCGCCCTCCAAACCTAACCCAGTTTTTAAAGTGTTTGGCGCAGCCCCACTAGAGAACGTGGTAAGTCTTTTGTAAAACAACACACACACACCCTCAGTCCCACCCTGTCCCACCCCAAACCTTTGGGTGCCTTGTGTCTGCCGTTGAGTAAGGACAGTCATGAATATTTGAGATAGTAACACGTGGTGGAACAGATGGGATTGGGACCTGTTTTGTCACGGACCTAGAGAGGATCTCAGCATCCCACATCTGGCCCAAGAAGCCATTCATGACTCGAGCACAAGAAAGTGCTGTCGTCCTTCTTACCCAGGGGGTGGGACATGGCCGAAACACTCCCAGGGAGTCACCTTGGCAGCCTTCCGAGAAAAAAGAGGCCAGAGTCTCCCCCAGAGAGAGTTGTGTGCACTGCACAATTTTACGGCTGTCCTTTTCAAAGAACCCTCCAGAATCCGCAGAACTTTTGCCTGCCTGCCTGCTTGCTTGTTTTTTAAAATAAAATCAGGTATGAAAAAGCAAGTCTGTTACACTATGTAGAAGGACACAGCCCTATGTTTCGAGAGTGTGTACCTGTGTATTAGAAAAGAGAGTCTCTCGAGCAGGAATCACCAACATCTGAAGTATGTGTCCTCACATCTGTGCTGGCAAACGTGTTGAGCAGGACAAACTGTACTTAATCTAGGTGGTAAAAACTGGGAGCAGAGAAGATTGCTTGAAACCATTGAGATCTGCAGTTAAACTCATGACACATGTTCAAGAGGCCAGGGGGAGAGCGATTAAATCAAATAAATTTATTGTCATTGTAAGTAATATACATAGTATACCCATACAACAGAATTAATCATCTGTATTCAGTGCAGTAAATTAGGGAGTGGATTCCAGTTCTCATACTGTATTGACACCTTTAGAGAGGCATGCAAAGCAAAAAGTGTGCTTCTTAACAGTAATGTTGGGAAGTCAGAAATAACAGACCTGGCTGAAATGAGTAAAGGGTTATTATTGGAGGTGGCAGCTGGAGATTGTAAAAAATAATTTTCTAGAAAGCATCAGTCAGAGGACACAAAATCACATCAAGTCTTTTGGAAGAGTGGTTTAAATCATTTTGATTTAAATCCAATACACTCTAGAGTGGTGCGATTCCTCTGTGCCTCCAAACTTTTCTTGAAATCCTTGTAGTGCTTCTCTTACTGCTGCGTTGCCTGCTGTTTCATCATCTCACTTAAATGTGCTTTCAATGTGCAAGCTTGGCCCCGAAGGGTCTTTTTATCTGCCAGCTGTGGCATTGTTTTCTAACTCTTCTGCGCAGCAGCACAATGAGAGAAAAGGCATCTTAATTTCTCCTGTTGTTCTTCACCTTGTTTACCTGAGTGGCTCTTGATTCCCCACAGGTGCGCAAGTACAAGAGCATGATCCTGGAAGACCTGGAGTCCGCGTTGCTGGAGCATGCACCGGCGCCCCAGGAGGTTAACTCGGAGCTGCCACCTCTCACCATCGATGGGATTCCGGTCTCTGTGGATAAGATGACCCAGGTAGGCAAACAGAAATGATGGAAATATGGGCAGGGGAACAGCACAGAGGAGGCTGTTGTGTCCCTGGCCTATCGCTCGTTCCAGCGAAGCATCTCGTCCTCTCATCCATAACCGTTTGTTGCAGAGACGCTTAATTCCTTCTCTCCAAGGGAACCATAATGATTCTCTTAAATGACTCCGATAGAAGTTGTTCCCGTTGATGCTGCCTTTGCGACAGAATCTACGAGAAGGAACAGGTGGTTGCAACGCCACAGGGCCTCAATGGCTTCCCACTAGCTTTGTGGAGGAGGGGAAAATGTTTTTATCCCGGCACCTTCCTTGGGTGGGGAGTTACAGGCACGTTTGACGAAGCCTGTGAAGTAGCCTGGCTGTCTGGTTTAGATCAGTGGTTCTTAACCTTTGTTACTCGGATGCTTTTGAACTGCAACTCCCAGAAACCCCAGTCAGGACAGCTGGTGGTGAAGGCTTCTGGGAGTTGCAGTCCAAAACTCCTGAGTAACCAAAGGTTAAGAACCAGTGGTGTAGAGCTCATGTCATTGAAATCAGAACCCTTGGCTGTCCTTTCTAGTCTTTTTCTGTGGTAGGATCTCAAAGATATGATGCTAGAGATTCTGCTGAGGCCCTCCTAGGATCCCAGTTGGTCAGAGCCACACACCCCATCCCTGGCCACACTCTTGTTTAGTGACACTCGCACACATGATTCTGGACAGTCTACATGTTTCTCGTGAGGCTTAAGGATTGGCAGACAGAGCTTGATGCTCATGTAGGGTGATCCTGCAGGTCTTGTCGTTTTTCCTTCAGCACTGCCCTGCACCGGAATGCCATCACAAAGAACAACTTACTTGAAACAGAATCTGGCCCTTGGTGTGGAAGGGCTTCCCTGCTTTCGGGGAGGTGGTTCTGGGGTGGGTGTGTTGCTGGGATTTGCCAGTGTGTATTGGGATAGATACAATGATACGTCGTGCACTCATCCTGGCCCTGTACAAGGTTTAACCGGGATGCCCACCTTTATGAGACTAAGAAGTTTTTTGGGGAACCGGTGGTGTGAACCCATGGGGTGCTGCTTGGAAGGTGGCCCTCGTTTTCTTCTAGTTGATCTCTACATGTCTCCCCTTTTCACCTTGTCGTGAGGGTGCAGCAAAAGGAGAAGTCAAATTAGGAATCCCTGAGTCCTCTTGAGCCCGCACACACAGGGGTGAGGCATGCCGGGAGTGGCAATACATCCCGCTTTAGAGGGTCCACGCTTTGCCGACTGAGGGCATGCCGTGCCGTGCAGGGCAACTGAGGCAACGCAGAGATCAGCTTCTCAAGCGTGTGCAGCAATCTGAATTTTAAAACATAGCTAGGTACAGGAGGGGACAGAAAAGAACAGAGAGGTCATCCGGTGGGAGGTGAATTTTAGCAGGCGCTATTGTATATTCGAAGCTCCGTTTCATCTGGAAATGAGGACCCAGAGATTAAGCTGACGGCGTTGTGGAAGTCAAGAGTGCGTTGGTGCTCCAGGCCGGCTGTTTGTCTGGTCCTGCTTCTCACTGAGGAGGAGACAGCCTGTGGAAAATGTATGCCCTGCATTTTGCCGTTGACCAGGTAGACTGGGAGTAGGAGCTCTCTGCTAGGAGGGGACAGCCGAAATCCGTGGCGCAACAGCTCCCGGTAGACTTGAGTCATGTGTTCAGCAACAAGGGAGTTGTTTGTTCGTTATAGATAATAACAGGGACTTTGTGTGCTTTCAAAATCTGTGATCCCCACAAACATCTGTAGAGGCAGAATATTGGTTTATTTATACCTACCTACCTACCTACCTACCTACCTACCTACCTACATACATACATACATACCTACATACCTACATACATACATACATACCTACATACATACCTACCTACCTACATACATACATACATACATACAAGACAACCCCCCCCAGGAGAAGAGAATGGTAAACCACGTCTGAAGACTCTCTATGTAGAAAACGCTGAATGGGATTGCCATAAGTTGGAATGGACTTGACAGCCCATAATTATTATTAGAAGGAAGGGCAGACTCTTTGAGTTGGTAAATTTATGAGCGTAGAAAAATTACTTTTTCGACAAATTTGATCTCTGGCTTGGTTCAGAGCATAGGAAAGTTGCTGTTCTATTACTATAGAATCAGATTATTTATATACCACTTTTCCGCAGCAAGCTGTGCTTGGAGAGGGGGCATATAATAATTTTTTTTTAAAGATCACATTTCAGGGAAAGTTGGAATAATTATACAGAACTTTACTAAATTCAAATAACGGTGCAATCAGACAGAAATACTGCCGCTTGCGTTTTGGATTCTTTGTGGCACAGCCTGGTGCAAGCTACTTTCCAGTGATCACATGATGTACCGAACTTTACTAAATTCAAATAACAGTGCAATCAGACAGGGAAATACTGCGGCTTGCATCTTGGATTCTTTGTGGCACAGCCTGGTGGAAGCTACTTTCCAGTGATCACATGATGTACAGGCAGTCGTGCTCGATCCTGACGCTGATCCATACCCAAGCTTGACCTTTTTGCTTCAGTGGCAGAGGTATTTGGGGGGGCGGGAACAGGCTGGAGGGGTTCCCTATGAGACAGAAGAATCTCTTTAATGGAGATCATTCCCAGCAAAGCGGTCCTTCCCGGTGCAAAATCAGATGCAATCCTTCCTCACCATCTAATCACACCTTAAGATGGAACTGCCCTAAATATAGAATACGTTCAGTATCGGAACGGTGGAAAAGGTGGTTGTTGTCAATGCTTGAGCAATGTAACACTGCTGGCATTCTGGACAGCAGCAGAAGGAGGGCAGGTAAACAGCAGCTCAAGGGAAGGCTCAACGTTCAGGGCTGCGCTTGGCTGACATACTTTGAGCCAAGACTTTTGGACAGGAGAATCCCAAGGGAGGTGATGAGGCTGAGATAACTCCTGCTTTGCTCTGGCTGATTGCCTCCCTAGAGGCTCCGATGCCTCTAACGAGGGCGCTTGCAGGGGCTTGGAACGCTCTGCTTTGGAGGACTTCTAATTACCCCACTTGGAAATGTGGGGGGGGAAATAGGGGGCGAGAACGGCGCCCTTTCCATCCAAGGGGAAACTCAGCCACAACTGGAATGGCATCTGGAGCTCTCCGAATGGCCACTCCTTCCAGCTTCTCTTCGTCTTTTTTTTCCCCCCCCCTTGGAAGGCAAGCTAGGTAAAGGATGGGGAGGGTGACAGCCGCCCCCCAAGAGCATTTGATCAGGGACTGCAGTAGAGGCAGAGAATAAAGCTCTGAAAATGGACATTTTGGAGAACATCTCCCAGAATCTGCACGGGTTGCGGTTGTTCTGGGTATTGCATTTCAAGAGAGCCGTATTTCCAAACTCTCAAGCAAAGGACAAGCATTCAGATCGGCAGTTGTGGGCTCGGCCCTGGACATCTCCAGCTGGATTCGGTTCGGCGACCTGCTGCCCTTGAGCCATGGGAGTTCTCTTGGACTGTACAGATGGCCAGTTCAGAACTCCAGCAAAAGCTACCTGGCCCTCCCAGTCTGTCCCCAGCAGCTGCTATAGCCGTAGAGAGGAAAGGGGCTGGCGGTGAGAAAGCGGGGGCCTGTTTTTGACAGGCTTGGATGGTGGCCCTCAACACGAAGAACGTGTCCCATCCCATCATTGGATGGTCTCCAATGGAGGTGGGCAGGACCCCCTGACCGGCGGTTCGTGCCGAGTCCTCCGTTGGCCCAAGGGGTGTTCCGCGGTTCCAAGCCCCACGTCCTCCAGTGGGTGCCCACTCAGAAACTCCATGGAATGTGCCGGGCCCACAGCACAGATGCTCCTCTGGGACGACCGAGATCTGATGGCTAGTCCAAGTTACAGTCAACCTTGGCCGTTCATGTTGAGTTCCCATCAGCACAGGAAAAGAAAAGAAGAAGCAGTGGATCTGCTTTCGCTGGGCCTGAGGATTGGGTTTTGGCCGGTGGGCCTTGCTTTTGAGTGACTTGGGCATGCCCCACACAGAGGTCTTCCCTCTGCTTTGGTTGACTGGTAGAAGGGTCGCCTTCCAGCCCCCCACCCCCACCCCCAGTGTGCCTGTTCAGACGTTCCCAAGCAGCTTCTGAAGGTGGCTTAGTGGAGGGAGGGAAAAGTTCTCTAAAACAACACTTAGGAATAAAATCTGGAGAACCCCCGTCCTTTATGAAAGGTTTCCAAGGGCAGAGAAGGTGGTGATGAGCGGCCTGCAGGGTTGATTTCAAAGCCGAGCCAGCGTTACTCTTTGGAAGGAGAGTTTTCAGAATTGCCTTCTGCAATAGCCATGTCTTGTCAACTGCATACAGACCTAAATGCCTGTGCCCCTGCATGCACCCAGCCTGCATCCTCATTGGTTGTGGATCATACCTTGGGGTGTGTTCACTCTGGGACTGAGATCCACTTCACTTCTTAGTAAAGCCTCACTCGTCCTTTACCTTCAAAATCATCTCTGTTGCAGCCTTGGGAGTGAGAATCTAAAAGCCCACGGAAATTGGACTTTGGGGAATCGCGGTTGTTGTTTTAAAGCTTGTTCAAACCCAGGTGGACGCGCAATCAACAGCTTTAGAAAAGCCTGCAAAAACCTAAGTGTCTCTTGAGTCAAAGTACAGTTTTCCGCATCGTACTCTTTTAGCCACCCCTGTTAGGCTAATCCTTTCCCGGCTGACCACCTCCTCCTTTTCCCCTTGTCTAGCAGACTAGACAGGTTTTACCTTCTTGGGCTCCATGATCACTGCAGATGGTGACAGCAGCCATGAAATTAAAAGACACCTGGTTCTTGGGAGGAAGGCAATGACAAACCTAGATAGCATCTTAAAAAGCGGAGACATCACCTGGCCGACAAAGGTCCGCATAGTCAAAGCTATGGTTTTTCCAGTGGCGATGTATGGAAGTGAGAGATGGACCATAAAGAAGGCTGACTGCTGAAGAATTGATGCTTTTGAACTGTGGTGCTGGAGGAGGTTCTTGAGAGTCCCCTGGACTACAAGGAGAACAAACCTATCCATTTTGAAAGAAATCAACCCCGAGTGCTCACTGGAAGGATAGATCCTGAAGCTGAGGCTCCAGTACTTTGGCCATCTCATGAGAAGAGAAGACTCCCTGGGAAAGACCCTGATGTTGGGAAAGTGTGAAGGCAAGAGGATAAGGGGACGACAGAGGATGACGAGAGGGATGGACAGTATCATCCAAGCAACCAAGATGAATTTGACCCAACTCTGGGAGGCAGTGGAAGACAGGAGGGCCTGGTGTGCTCTGGTCCATGGGGTCACGAAGAGTCGGACACGACGTAACGACTGAACAACAACAACAACAATAAGCAGGCTGATGCATTTCCCCCGCTTTTGGATAAAGGGCAAAACTGAAACCTCATTTCAAAAGAAAGCATGCAAATGAAGCATATTCATTCAAAACAAGCAGATTTGCCTACATTTGAGCAATTGGCATAATTTGAATCACCTCTTCCATCTTCTTCTTTTTTAAAAATATGCACAGCATACGGAGGTCTTAATGTTTCCACATTCATAAAGGAAGCAGGACCTTGCTCGGGGAACTGGCTTTCTGCACACTTTCTTGTGGGTAGTCCGTCGCCCTCCCTCCTCACTCCAGGTTGCGTGTCCAAGGAACTCTTGTGGTGCAGTTCTTGCCGTACTAACATCCCTAGGTGGTACTATAGAGCTGTTTGCCTCCTTGCTGGGCCCATTATTGAAAGGCAGAGGAAAAACCTCCCTTGAAAGAGCCCGTCCTCATCTGGTGTTTATGACAAGGAGTGGGGGAAAAACCACTCCAGTTCTAAAAACAAAAGGATCGTCTGGGTACCATAAAATCTACTTTGTGGATTTCATGCACGTCCTTAAGGTGCCCCTGCTTTTGTGTTTTTCTATCACTATGCTTGCCAGAACGCACCCCTGCCGCAGCCTTGTTGAAAACCATTCCAATTCTGAGGGTGCTGTTACTTTATATGGTCTCTGAATGAAGATGCGACTCCCAGCCAAGGAAAAGACCAGAGCCCATGAAGCATCACAAAGCAAAGTGTTTTTTCTGTACTGCCCCACGGTGCTTAAAACACTCTCAGGGTGATTTACTGTTTAATGATGCAGTCTTGTCAAGCAGGTTACTCAGTTTACTGAAGGCTGAGTCAACCATTGAGCTGGCTACCTGAACCTGCTGGGAGCGGACACACACGTCCTGAGCAGAGTTATCCCTGCAGTACTGCAGTGTAACTGCTATGCCACAATTTCAGGAAAATGGAAACTGGTCAGGAGAACTAGCCAGAAGTTAGGGATAGTCAGGTAAACTGTGATTAAACTATATTCATGTCCTGAGTTTTTGACATGCTGCAAGAGGCAGAGGGCAGTTGACGCAGAGAAAGGGTGCACATACAAGTACAGTTCAGTGGCGCCCTTTTCTCTCTCTGGACTTTCCTATCTTCATTTCTTTCCCAGCTCTACCTGTTGCATCGGCAGCCAGCCTGCGGTCTTGAGCTCTGTCCCTCCATGATTTGGAAGGTCAGTCTGCCGCTTTAGCAAAGCAAAGCTAGCTTAATCATTTAGAGCAGTGGTTCTCAACCTTGGGTAACCAAGGTGTTGTTAGACTACAACTCCCAGAAGCCTTCATTGCTAGTTGTGCTGACCCTTTAGCCCAGGAGTTGTAGTTTGAGAACATCTGGGCACCCAAGGTTGAAAAGCACTGCTTTAGAGCCACATCCAGTGTTTAAATATCCCTACATGCTAGTACTCACTGGAAGGACAGACCCTGAGGCTGAGGCCCCAATACTTTAGCCATCTCGTGAGAAGAGAAAACTCCCTGGAAAAGACCCTGATGTTGGGAATGTGTGAAGGCAAGAGGAGAAGGGGACAACAGAGGACGAGATGGCTGGACAGTGTCATCGAAGCGACCAACATGAATTTGACACAACTCCGGGAGGCAGTGGAAGACAAGAGGGCCTGGCGTGCTCTGGTCCAAGGGGTCACCAAGAGTCGGACACGACTAAATTACTAAACAACAACATTCTAGTACTACTTACAGAGGTGTTGGGGTTATGCTTCTGTATGTAAGGGAAGTTTTTACTCTTGCTAAATCTAGGGCTAAGTTTCAAGTGAGTCTTGCTTTTGCTGGATGCGATAGATAATTGGCACTTTCTCTCTATCATGCAAAATAAAGTGTACAGATGGGGTTGTGGGTTCCTGCTGGTGTGTGTACAGAGAGCCAGTGCGGTCCCCCTTTTCTATGCATCAAGCTTGCAGCTGAAGGCTGTCTCCTTGAATGATCTGGAAGCATTTAAAGTCCACCTTTTCCCCTGCTGCTGATCTGCTGCTTTATTACATTTTTCTGGAGTCCAAGAAGTTGGTCTCAGCTTTGGAAAGCTCCTACTTGCCATACAAACACACCTGCTAGGTCTTGATATCAGGCAGGTGCATCTGTGAAAAGGTGTATCTGAGACTGTGTGTTGCAAATGGCAGGCGAGAGGGCAGTTTTTAAGAAGCAGTGACTGAATGTCAGACTTCCTGCTGACTCTGTTCCATGGCTGTCGCCGGTTACAGGAGACAAATGCAAACATTAATGTAAAGTGTTCTATCAAACCTTTAAGGGGTAAGGAATGTGGGAATTAGGTCTGTGGAGTCTCATGAAAAAGGGCTATTTACATTGGAAGAATGCAAATCATTAAATCATTTAATTAAATCATTAAATCAAGTCAACTGTCCATTGCAGTATGTTCAGGTTCAAAGCCAAGCACAGACGTACCAGCTGATACTAAATCTGTCAGTCTGACAGATCGCTTTTATGTGTTCTCAATGGTCCACAGAGCACGGACAGAGTTCCTACTCCAGTCCTTTGAAGATGCCAGGCCACATAGACTGGTGAAATGTCAGGAAGAACAACCTTCCGAACACGGTCAAATAGCCTGAAAAACCCACAACAACCATCAGATCACTTTTATATTTGAGATTTTTGTAGTTTTAAGAGTAGAACATTTTATAAAGCCTTTAGTTAAGGCAGTGTAACTGATTAATTTTTAATATTTAGGATTATATTTGAATGGCGGTCAGGAAAGTTTACAACCTGCTTGGAAATAACTAGGTAGCAGTAATGAGCTACTTTTTGGATCACAACCTTTTAGTAGTTACGTTTCAAAGCAATGTAACCATTGGGAGTCAAGTTACTTGGCGTAACAAGCAGTGTTTTCTAGTTATGTTTAATAGTTGTATTGTTAGAGGCATCTTGACATAAATGTTTTGGGTTTTACGCCGTTGTAAACTGTGTGAAGGTTGGTTGGTTGGTTTGAGTAATAGAAAAAGTAACAGTGAAGCAATGAGCAACAAGTAATGCATTGAATTACATTAGGGTTGTGGTATTCATGGGGGATTGATTCCAATCCTCCAGATGCCAAAAATCTCAGAAGTATCGAGCACTGCGCATTGCACGGTCTTTATTCTAAATATTTCCTTTCCTTCCTTCCACAGGCACAGTTGCGGGCCTTCATCCCAGAAATGCTGAAATATTCCACGGGTCGGGGCAAGCCAGGTTGGGGCAAAGAGAGCTGCAAACCCGTCTGGTGGCCCGAAGACATTCCATGGGCCAACGTTCGCAGCGATGTTCGGACGGATGAGCAGAAGCAGAGGGTGTGTGTTGAATGCCCTCTTGCTTCTGCAGAGGGCCCTTCCTTGGTATGGCCATGGGAAAGGCTGGGCTTATAGATCTCTCTGGGGGGGACTTTGTTAGGTGGCGGCGGCAAATGACACGGAGCAGGTAAGAACACCAGAGATTCTAGATCTGAAATGGGCATTTGAGAATATTTGAAGAGTGCTCTCTTCTTTCCCCTCCTTCTTTTCTCAAGACTTAAATATGCCCAATTCTTTCTATTTCCACCACCCTAGGGCTAGGTTTCTAGTCCCTTGATCATCCTTGTTGCCCACTTCTCAACTTGCTCGAGTTCGTTGGCCTCTTCCTTAAAGTCCCTGGTAGACAGTGGGAATGCTATAGATGTAATATACTGTATCTTGACTTCAGCATAGCATTTGACAAAGTGCCCCATGATATACCCGTGATTAGCAATATCTCTCTCTCTATTACCTACTTGGTTGTTGCTTTGTCACGGTGGAATTAGCTATGATACCTTCAAGAGGATGCTCAGTTTACCTCTCTGTTAACAGGGTTCACATCAGCTCTGTGTCTCTGTAGGGCTCCAACCAGATGCCCCAAAGGTTCTCAAGTGGATTATCCTTGTGGCAGAGGTTTATCTGGGTAAATAAGAGTAGTTTCTAATGATAAACCAGAGCTGATGGTGTTCAATATTTGCAGTGGTTCTTTTGAATCACTTACACGAATACCACCCCATCCTGGGTATAAAGAAGCAGATTCTAGATCTGAAGTGGGCATTTGTTCTCAAGACACTTGATGAGGTTGTAAGGGAAAAGCGGTTGCTTTGTTTAAAGGGCACAATTTGCTTTATTATTTATTTATTTAGAATATTTTTACCCCGTCTTTCTCCCCAAAAGGTCCCAAGGTGACTTCAGTGTAATCTAAAGGAACTGTATACAATATTTCTAATAATGAACCTCCACGAAGAGCAGTCCCCCCTAGCATGGCTTTTAATAAAACAGTATGGAATGCTCCTTGACTTTTCTAGCATAAAGAGTGAAAAATGCAAACGTTTACCTTGACAAACCCCTCTGGACTCAGGTCAATACAGAGACTTCCCTACCAAAGTCCTGCCTGGCTTCCTTTATATAGCAAAACTTTCTGGCTTCTTTATAAACTTAGCCTTAGGTGGCTTTTTTTATTAACCAAGCCACCCCTGTCTCTTTTTCTAGCCCAGTCTCCTATCTGGCTGTTTTGCTAATCAAGCCCTTCATAAACTCTCTCTGGAAACTACATTGTCAGTCCTTACATTCTAAATCATAGAATTATCGAGTTGCAAAGGGCCTATAAATAAGGCCATTAAGTCCAATCCCTTGCTGAAGGCAGGAACCCAAATCAAAGCAGATCTGCCAGGTGGTTGGCCAGTTTTCCCTTGAATGCCTCCAGCGTTGGAGTGCTCACCACCTTTCCCTGTAGTCGCTGGTTCTGTTGTCGTACTGCTGTAACAGTCAGGAAGTTTTTCCTGATATTCAGCCTAAATCTGGCTTCCTGTAGGCGGCAAAGTGGTTCTGTTAAAGACAAAGTCCTTTTTGAGCAATCCCTACTTAAAAATATGCAAAAAGAATCTACAGTATATCACAGAAGTGACCACACCTCCTCACATTTCATAAACACCTTAGTCTATCTTTTCATAGACAACACTGAAGAAATGACACTCGGCTACAAGGTAAAGCAGTGAGTCTACAGCTTGTATAACAGTGTCAATGTGCTGTCCCCTCAAAATAACGCAACACACAACCATTCATGTCTAAACTTCTGGCAACAAAAGTGAGTCCACCCCTCAGGGACAAGATCCAAATTGGGCCCAAGTTGCCATTTTCCTTTCTGTTAGTGTCACAAGTCTGAGGGGTGGAGGGGAAGCGGGTGTTCTTGCTCTCACTCTCTCAGACCAGTCACTGGTGTTCCACACGGGTCGTGAACGATCTGAGGATCTGAAAAAAGCAAATGGTTGCTCTACATCAAGATGGCTATAAGTCCCATTATCCCCTGCCAGCAGACCAGAACCCATGCTTCTTCAGGATAAGAGGTGTTGTCACCCAGCACTTCTGGAAACTGCTGTTCATCTTAGGCCCATGATACTATGGTCGCCCTGCGTCCTTAATTAAAGCTGTATTGTCAAACCAAAATCTCACGAAGTCTGTCTCTTAGAGGGGCTTCCATCAATTTAAACATGCATAGTCCCCCCCCCTCATGTTTCTGCTTTGTACCTAAATTCAGAAGTTACTCTCCTTCTCCCTGTCTGGCCAACAAACTGATCGTGCTGTGCTTGGACCGGGCTGACTGGCTTTCAGAGCAGCTGCAGATAAACTCTATTTGAAATATACCTCAAAGAAGAATACCTCTTTGTCTTGCAAAACTCTGCCCTGCCTTACGAAACGATAAAAAGTTTCAATATCTGAGCAATGCCAAAATAATCTCAAAGACATTGTCAGAACAGATATAAAAGCAGCAGAGAAGATTTGCATTTTTAAATGAGTAAATAAAAAAGAGGTTTTGCCCAATACCTAAAAAGGCACCAAATTTGGCTGCAGGTGACCCTTTCCTTGATTGTATAGTCCAGTGTCAGGACATCACAACTAAAAGGGCTTGTCTTGGGGAGAGAGACATAGCGGTTGGTGAGCATAAGCTGGCTTATTCATGTGGATCTCAACTGACTTTCAGGCCTCCAACCCCATTTAACACTTTAAAGTCGGGATGTTCTAATAAGACCAAAACACATTGGACCAATGCCTCCAGTCTGTGGATGCCTGGAGAAATTTTGTGAAGCCAGCAAAAGTGCCTTTGAGTGCATTTTATATATTACCTTTGACTGAGTAAGTTACAGTTTCCCTATGGTTTCCTTGATTTAAAATTCCTCCAATCCTTTCGTTTTGGGCCGGTGGTCACTAACAAAACCTGTAACCATTGTTTCACATGTCAGCAAACCCTGAGTGTGTGGAGGAATCTGCCCTGTGTCACTCTTGCGCTGTCTGTCTGCAGACAGCTTAGCTAGTGGATGCACCAGGTTTGGGGGACTTTGGGGGGTCCATGACCTACATATCAGCCTGTGTGCTTTTAAGGAATAGTTTTGCCCATTGGAAGCACCTTTCTGCTTTTAAAAATCCTTCACCGAATAAAATTCAGACTATTTCAGAGGTGGCTATTTATTTATTTATTTATTGGTCTTGCTCTGGTTTCTGCATCAGGTTGGGAGCCAAACGTGGAAATCCTTGACGAGATCTTAACTCTCCATCTGCCTCCTTTCCCCCGCTGCCCAGCAGGTCTCCTGGACTCAAGCCCTCCGCACTATTGTGAAGAACTGCTACAAGCAGCATGGGCGCGAGGACCTGCTGTATGCCTTTGAGGATCAGCAAACACAGCCTGCCACGGCGACACACAGTATAGCGCATCTGGTACCGTCCCAAACCGTGGTCCAGACCTTCAGCAATCCGGATGGCACTGTCTCCCTCATTCAGGTCAGGGCAGTCGACTTCTCCAAGTGACTCGGGCGTCTGGTTTTATCTCAGGGTTCCCAGTTTGGGGAGGGAAAGGCAAGGGCAACTTGGGTTCCTCGGTTCTGAAGCAAAATTCCTCCACAGTTCTTAATTACTCAACTCTGGATCTAACCTCTGGCAGTGGCCACAGTATTCTGAAGGGCTAGTATGGTGTAGAAGTTAAGAGTGCTGGGCTAGAACGTGGGAGTAACTGGGCTGACCTTCATTGGCTGACCTTCGGCTAGTCCCAATCTTTCAGCCTGAGCCTGCTTTACAGAGTTGTAAGGGGAGGAGGAAGACTCCTTGAACTCACGGAAAGGTGGGCAGTAAATATCAGGTTGCAAATAAAGATGGACACGAACCACCAATTTGGTGGTTCGTGTTGGTTCGTTGACTGACCGAACCGGTGTTTGGTGCTTCTGAGGCCCACCACCTCCAGCAGGCGCCCGCTTGGGGGCAAGGCCCTGGCTTCCCTGAGCCACGTCCTCCAGGTGTTGTCTCTGACGGGGCAACTGCCAAACACCGGTTCGGACAGTAAACCAGGTGCCATATGACCATCTCTAGACTAGCAAACCATTCCAGAGCTAATGGGTGAACACCAGTGAAGTACTACCTAATTTCCAGTTATCCCTTCGATCCCATCTGATTAATTTCAGTACGAGGGAGGAACAGGTCACATCTCCTGGATGTAGACATGAAAATACAGCAAATCAAAGCCAAGTGTTCTTCTTTTTTTG